TTTGTATTAAAATTGCTTGCAGTAACAAATTTGTATTTCCTGATTTTCTTCTCAACTATTACCTTAAATTAACCTGTTACCCTGGGTATGATTGTGTTTTAGGTACTTAAATGCATTATTCAAATCAAAATATCTTGGTGGATAAATTATGGAGCTCACTAATATTTTTTTCTTGTTTATTTCATCCTTGTTGATTTTAACAAAACAACAAAGAAATAACCAGGCTATTGCTAATGTAGATCTGTAGGGAATCTGCTCCACTTAGCTGATCACACAAATAACAATATGTAAGAAAATTTCTGTATTAGAAATCACAAAGCGGGCGCCTGGGTGGCTCAGTGGGTTAAGCCTCTGCCTTCGGCTCAGGTCATGATCCCAGGGTCCTGGGATCGAGCCCCACATCGGGCTCTCTGCTCAGCGGGAAGCCTACTTCCCTCCTCTCTCTCTGCCTGCCTCTCTGTCCACTTGTGATCTCTGTTAAATAAATAAATAAGGGGCACCTGGGTGGCTCAGTGGGTTAAAGCCTCTGCCTTCGGCTCAGGTCATGATCCCAGGGTCCTGGGATCGAGCCCCACGTCCGGCTCTCTGCTCAGCCGGGAGCCTGCTTCCTCCTCTCTCTCTGTCTGCCTCTCTGCCTACTTGTGATCTCTATCAAATAAATAAATAAAAAATCTAAAATAAATAAATAAATAATATTAAAAAAGAGAAATCACAAAGATCCCAGGTTTGAGAGGATGGGGCCAGTTTCCCTTGGTAGGCTGAGATTTCTGGTTAAATGATAGAATTTCAAAAGCGGAAGCAAAATTGGCCAACAGATCTAGCTCTTTTCTTTTCCAGATGGTAACACTGGAATGGGAAAGTGGGAGAGAGGGTTATCTGCCTAAGATCAGAGAATTAATAAATGGCAAAAGTAGACCTTGAATCAAATCATTGATTCCCTATTGAAGCTTGGCATTTCTATTTCCTCCAGCCCCTAGTTGGCTTTATAAGAATTAGAACAACCAAATATTATGTAATTCTAATAGGAATTAGGCTAGAAAGTAACAGAAGTAGAAGTAGGAAAAAGGGCTTCAAACTCGGGCCACTTGTGTTTCTGATCATTAAGCCATACATACTCTCATATGATCAGGACCTGGGTAAGATGGATACATGTTTGCCACACCTGTTTGATGAAATTTTTTTTAAGATTTTATTTTTATTTGACAGCACAGGTAGGGGGAGTGGCAGGGAGAGGGAGAAGCAAACTTTCTGCTGAGCAAGGAGCCTGGTACAGAGCACAGTCCCCGGTCCCTGGCATCATGACTGGAGCCAAAGGCAGACACTTAACCAACTAGCCACCCAGGTGCCCCTGCCACAGCTGTTTGAACCTAAATATCCAGATTAAAAGAAATCCAACCTGATGGATTCTGAAGTAAGTGCTTACTCTAGTCCCCCTGGAATTAAGTAACTTCAAGCTGCCAGAACTGTGTAGGATAGTGTTTTTGCCCAAATTTGTTTCTCCTCTAGGCTTCCAGCAGAAGCACACTCAAAACAGCTTGACCTCCACCCTTTAAGATTCTGGACTATGATCAATTTTTTTTTTAACCAAGTAATTCAGGTTTTCCTTTAGTCTTTGCAACAAATCTCAGCTAGTGGTGAAATCTTCATAAAGTGTATTTCCATTCAGCAAACACCTACATGCAAGGCCATATAGAGAATATAGGGATGCCAGAAAAAAAGCTTGGAGTTACAGTTCTGGGATACCAGTGCTAAACATGTGATACAAATTTGGTGTCTGCTGGGTAGAGATGCAGGAGTCCCTGGGGTTTTGAATGATAACAGTAACAAGAGCTGACATTTACTGGCTGCTTGCCATAGGCCAGTCACTGTGCTAAGTGCTCTATCTACAACCCTACCATCCTGACCCCATTCACAGATGAGCAACAGCCTGAGAGGTTCAGAAACTGCCCCAGGTCGGATTGCACCAGGCGGCTAGGGTAAGCCCTTGTTTGACACTACTTTCTCCAAGACCTTCCCCACCTCACTTCCCTTCCAGTTCCTGAGTTAGAGGATTCCATTCACATTCCCGCCCCCAAGTCCCAGCTCCTTGTTCTCTGTCCTTCCAGGCGCTTTGCCAGCCCTCAGGTCAGAGCACAGCCTTGGTTCTGCCTTCTGTGAAGACTATGTGTACCTGACTATCATCCCTGTTGGGGGCAGGGACTGGTCGGCTTCATCTCCGGCTCAGGGCAAGGATCGAGCGGCCCATGGTGTTTGCTGTTGAACTGAGTTGTGGGGTGCCATCCTTTGGAATGGCTAAAACCTGATGTTTAGTTTTACAAGAATGGGAGGCCCATTGTTGGAAGAACGCAGCTATCTCTGCTCACCCTAAGTTGAGCTAAATGATTTCTGCTCTGAAGAATCAGACCCACACTGAGCTGGCTTACAGTCTAGCTGGAAGCCCAGTGTCGCACAATAGGCTCCAGATGATGTGGTGCGGACTCCAAGTGGAGTACAGAGGGCTGCCCAGAGAAGGACAGTGAAGAGGGCAGGAGATTCAGAGGCTGTGAACAAGCCTGACACGGGGATGCCCCCTTGACTCTGCCTCCGCCTCTGCATGCAGTCACCAAGCCCTGGGGATGCAGCCTCCCCAACTGCTTTCTCCTCCCTCCCCCCATCACCAAAAAGGATCATGGTCATGTCCACACACCCTCATTACTGTACCTGCCTCCAGCTGGGGGCCCTGACTCTAACCTTCATCCCTCTGATCCATGGTCACTCCTGCAGCAGACTCTGTCTTAGGCACATTCAGTGGCTGAGCTGCAACATCGTTTTTTGTTGTTTTTTTTTCTCTTTCCCTTTTTAACATATAATGTATTATTTGTTTCAGGGGTACAGGTCTGTGATACATCAGTCTTACACAATTCACAGCTCTCACCACAACACATATCCTCCTCCATGTCTATCACCCAGCCACCCCATCCCTCCAGCAACCCTCAGTTTGTTTCCTGAGATTGAGGCTTTCTTATGGTTTGTCTCCCTTTCTGGTTTTGTCTTGTTTAATTTTTCCCTCCTTCCCCCTAGGATCCTCTGTCTTGTTTCTCAAATTCCTCATATCAGTGAGATCATATGATAATTGTCTTTCTCTGATTGACTTATTTTGCTTGTAAGCTGCAACATCCTTAAGAGGCTTATAAGTAGTGTGAAGATTCATAAAAGACAGACTAAGCATGGGCTTAAGGCACCAACAAATGATTGTTTGCTTAATTTATGTACAGTAGGCTCCATACCCAATGTGGGGCTTGAACTCACAACTTGAGATCAAGAGTCCCACACTCTACGGAATGAGCTGGTCAGGCATCCCAGTTTTGATATTTTTTAAAAGTCTGAAGAGATCAAGGGAAATTCTTATTTTGGTGGACTTTATTTATTTTGAAGTTTAATATTGAATCCACACTGGGGCCCCAGAACCATCTATTGTCCAGGGCCCTCATCTTGTCTCCCTGCAAGGCCCTTTGGGTCCATCCTTTGCCAGCCTCTCAGCCTCAGCCTCACCCAGGCCATATGCCCCTCAGTCTATCCAGGTTCCACTGAACACCTCACCTGCCCAAGCCCAGCTCCACAGTTGTGTGACACGGCAAGTCCCTTAACTATTGCGTGGGTCCGTTTCCTCCTCTGTTAAAAGACGTGGTTGAAATGGCGTCTACCCTCTATGTGAGAGCATTAAAGCAATAATGCAGAGCACACATGGCACACGGTAAGAGTGGGGTGGTGCCTGCATTATGCTCCCTGGCGTCGCACACCAGCAGTTTCCTCTGCCCATTGACTTTTCCTGTATCCCAGGCCCATTCCTTCTAGCCTTCAGAGCTCAGTCTAGGTGTCACTTCCTCCCAGATCAGCACCTTAGCCATAAATGAATAAATGCAGCGAGAGAGCATCCAGGAAGAGCAGAGTGTGCAGGAGGGGACTAAGTCAATGGAGGGGGTTCCATGTAGCGCCTTCTCTTGCAAGCCCTTGGGGGCCCTAACAGTTAAGATGCGCAAAGGGAGCTTCCTGGACGCTCCGGAAGGGCCCCAGAGCTCCCTGGCTCAGCTGGAGAAGGGTGTGCATCTCCCTTGCGCAGCACGGGGGCCGCAGGGCGCAGAGCAAGAGCCAGAGGTGACGATGTGGTTACGGTATTATCGGGGAGCGTGGGGAGCCCGCCTGGGACGGGGGCCAGGAGCTCGCGAGAGCCAGGTGGGTAGGCGCTGGGGAGCAAGAGACCGAGCAGTAGTCAGGGAAGGAGAACCCGCCAACAACGCGCGCAAGGGAACAGCCGGAGAGGCTCAGGGTGGCCAGCGAGGAACTGCGGAGGTGGCGGCTGGCAGAGGAACGCGTCCCACTCTCCCGCCGCGACTGGCACGAGCGGGGTCGCTCTACTTCTAGACCCCACTGAGGTCTTTCAGGCGAGGCTGCCGAGTCACTGCGCTGGCAGGACGGAGACTCCGAATCCCCGCCGGGGCGAGAGCGCTGGAGGACACATCGCGCGGGAGCGCAGGTCCCGGATTTCCCCGGACCGGCCGTTACCCTGGGAACCCCAGGCCAAGGCCCTGAGCTCGCCCGACAGCGCCCCCAGCGGCTGGGAGAGGAGGCCAGCACGGCCGCGAAGCCCCGACGGCTGGACAGGAGACCCCTCACCGGACCCGTCCAGCACCAACGACTGCTCACATCTCGGGGTCGCCAGCACCCGGGACACCAACCGAGATCCACAGCCCCACCCCCCGAGTGGGCTGCGCGGCTTTGGCCCCGCCCCGCCCCGCCCCGCGCCGCCATTGGGCGGGGCCGGAGGGGGCGGGGCCCGACGGCGGCGCGCGGGCCCTACAGGCGGCGGAGGCGGGGCGCGTGGCACGGACGGCCGGTCCCACTGAAGAGGTGCCGGTGGGTCAGCACCGCCCTCAGCGCCGACGGGAGCTCGCCCGTCGCCCCTGCCTCGGAAGCGGCTTCGGCAGCAGCCGACTGACGACACAGCGGCCACAGACAGATTGGTCGCCAGTCCCCCGGCCCCGGAGGAGCGCCTACCGCGAGGCGGCGGAGGCCTGGTCGACGCCGCAGGGAGCCCAGCAGGTGCGGCGCGGGAGGCGGTCTGAGGTTGCGCCGCGGCCGCCGGCGACCCCGACCCGAGGCTCCGACCCCGAGCCTCGCCTGCCGCTCGCCGTCGGGGCGGCCCCGGCCCCTTCTCGGCCGCGGAGCGGAGGCGCACCCGCTGAGCGCGCACCCGCTGAGCGCCAGTCCGGCCGGCCATGGCCGCGCGCCCCGGGCCGCTGTGGCTCGTGGGTCTGGCGCTGTGCGCGCTGAGCGGTGGTGGCCCCGGCCCGCGCCCCCCCGCCGGCTGCCCGGCCCGCCGCCTGGGCCCGCGCGAGCGCCGCGACATGCAGCGCGAGATCCTGGCGGTGCTGGGGCTGCCCGGGCGGCCCCGGTCCCGCGCGCCACCCGCCGCCGCCCGGCTGCCCGCGTCGGCGCCGCTCTTCATGCTGGACCTGTACCACGCCATGGCCGACGACGACGACGAGGACGGCGGCCCCCCGGAGTGGCCCCCGGGCCGCGCCGACCTGGTCATGAGCTTCGTCAACATGGGTGAGTGCGGCCGCCGGCTGGGCGTCTGGGGCCCAGACGACCGTGCGGCCTCCGCGTGGACGCGCGTGTGCGGACGTGGCCGGGGACACCTCGCGGGCGGCAGGGGCGAGTACACCGCCTTGGCCAGTGCGCGCCCCTGCTGCGAACAGGTGCCCCCTGGACGTGGCCACGCCCCCAAGGAGGGGTGAGAAGTGCGGAGCTCAGGGCCAAGTGCAAGGCGGGTGGGGGCTTCGTGGGTTAGCGGACCAGAACGGGCAGAGGTGCGAATGTGAGTCCCAGAGATATGCGCGTTCGTCCCGCTCCCAAACACACCCAAGGGTAGGAATCATCTCCTGTCGGGTGGACCGGACAGTGCCAGGAAAACAGTCTGGTCCCGGGGAGACAGATGAGTAAACAGGCTGGGATGCTGTCACAGTGATAAGGGCAGTACTGGAGAGAAGGACAAAGTTCAGTGTGGAAAGCCCCGGTCACATCATCAAAGTGACCGGAGCTGAGAACCCAGATGTCCTGAGTGCACAGCTGCCTGTTCCCTGGCCAGAGCCCCAGCTCCTGCAGGTGAGGGTGTGGCTGCCAGGGCAGCAGGTGGGAAGGAGTAGACTCTGAGCTCAGTGGGGCAATCAGTGGTCTTGTCACCCTGACTAGCACCTAGGACATGGCTGGCATGCAGTGTGTGTCCAGGCCGGTGGAAGGACCCAGTAGGCCCCTTGGACCCTCCTCATCCTTCCACACAAAGCCCAGCCTTTCCTTTCTACAGTAATTTTTCTCCAAGTCGTGGACCCATTTGTGGTTAGAGTACTCAAAGATGTCTCCCCATTACTAAATCTCTTTAATCTGCAGTCGTGAATGTCCCCTATCTGCTTTGCCTCCTGTCTGTGGCCAGTGAGGACCAGGGTTCTGGGCTGGAGCAGACACCAGACTGGATGTGGGATTGAAGGACTGCAGCTCAGGCTGAGGTGGAGACAGAACCCTTGCCAAGACCACCAGCATCCCTTCACGTACAGCATCATGCTTAGCCCTCCCCACAACCCCGGGAACAGACATGATATTCTTCCCCATCTCCCAGATGAGGACAGTGAGGCTCAGAGAGGCAATGTCATGCCCAGGACAGCACAGCCTCTCTGTGGCCCAGTCAGGACAGGCCCCGGTTGTTTGGCCCTACATCGGGTCCTCAAGGAGATGATATTTCTACTGTCAGGAAGGCAGGCTTTCAAGGTGGAGAGAGCTTCCAGAGGGGTTTAGGCAGAGAAACCCAGGGGATGGAGCAGCAGCAGCAGGTTTTGTGGGGTTTTCAGCCGTTTGCTTCCTCTATAAGGGCAGGCAGAATGGACAGCCAAGGAGACCTCTGTCCACCACACCCAGAGCTGGTGGGTGGGCTGAGGTGGGGAGTGAGCAGCAGGAAGTGGCTGTTAACCTCTGCTGAGAGCCTGGTGCCAGGCATAGGACTGAGTCAATGGGTTCTGAATGCCACCTTCTTGGTTAAGGGCAGGGTGGGGGACTCAGGACGAAAGAGACCATGTGTGGAACTGAAACTAGAGCCCTTTCCTCAGGACAGGCTGACCTGGGGCCAGAACCAAGAAGGGTTGTGGATACAGTCATCCCGAGAATGTCCCTAAGGGCAACATCCATTAGAGTGAGTCTCTGCCCAGCCAGTGTCCTGCTTCCCCAGCATCCCCTGGGTGAAGGCGTGCACAGCCTTGGTGGGAGCTCTTACTGCGAATCAAGCAGTACCCTTAGCTCAGACAAACCTGATTTCTCTCCTGCCTCCACTGTGTGACCTCAGGCAAGCCCCTTGCCCTCTTGGAGCCACAGATCCCTTCTTGTAAAATGGGGCTCACTGAGATCAATGCATCGTCAGGGGTATTGTGGGATGGGTTGATAGATGGGAGGAGCAGAAAATCAGCCCTCTAGTAGGTGCACCTGGACTGGTCCCTGCTGCCCGAGCTCCTTGCCAGCTGCTGCCCAGCCTTGGTTGGGTGTGTTGGGAATGTCCCACACTTCTTATGTGCAACCCAGAAACAGATTTTAAAAGGCAACCAAAAGGTGCCTGTACCTATTTTTAGAATAAAAACGAGCACCTGAAGAGCCTTTGTTGCACCCATCTAGCAACATGTAAGCTGTTTTACCAGCCCCCTTTGCATGGGCTCAGAGAGGTTAAATGGCCAGCCCAGGGCCACACAGCTCATCCATGGCATCATCCAGGGCCTGTGGATTCCTGATGCCAGCTTCTTCCCACGCTGTCTGTGTGTGTTTCATTAAGATCTAAGGCCTCTGATGCTGTGGGATTAACAAGCAGATCTTTGTTTGGTGGAAGACCAGTCTGTGGGCGGGCCCAGCCAGCTGTCAGAGGGCCTCTTTATTCTGATGTACTAATTGTACTAGTAGAACTCTTGCAGTGTGAGTGATTTAACTGGTAATTACCTAGGCTGTGGGGGTGGGAGGGTTAGACACCTAGCAGGAGTCTTTGCTTCTTAGGAGGCCCAGGCCCCAGGCCCTTGAACCGCCACAGAGCCTGATGGCAGAGTCATGGCGGTATCCACGCCCACACCTGGGCACCTGTACCTGCACCTCCAGCTCCACCTCTCCTACTGGCCTCATCTGCTCCTGAGAAGCCAGACCCGGTGCCTGGTAGGCCCCTGACCATCCACAGCAGCCTGTGGGACCAGAGGCCTTGGGCCTGTCACAGGCCTCCGGCCCACAGGCTGGGCATCTGTACCCAAGCAGATGCTTTAGGACGCCCATGTCATGGCTGACAGCGTCTCTGGAGGGAGGCCAGGGCTGTGGTCAGAGCTGGGACCCCTGCCTGGCCTCTCCGTCTCAGACTGTACACTCTTGGCTCCCCCTGGTCAGGACTTGCTGATGGGGGCTGATGCCCATGTGGAGCAGATGGGGTCTGTCCCGAGTGTCTCCTGTGCTCAGGGAGAGGAGTGCCCTGAGCTGGGAGGCAACATTCACATTCTTACACTGCCTGCACCCACCACTGATTCCTTCCTGTCCCGAGTCACCTCCCTTCCCTCTGCTTTCTCGTCCAGTCCACAGCGATGGTGTCAGGAAGCGAGGGGCCTCCCAGCCCTGACCCCGTGGCCCTGTGCTGGAGACAGCTCCTCACCGCACCACCCCATCCCCTGGGCTGTGTGGGTCTGACCTGCTGTACCTTAGGCACCTGGGGCCAGCCCTGCAGCTGGTGAGGGAGGAATGAGGAGGGAAGGACCGACTCTGTGTGCTCTTTCTGGTCCTTCTCCACCTTGAGTCAGAGCAAAAGATGCCCAGTTCTAGGTCGAGAAACTGAGGCACAGATAGCCCTGCAGGCAGAGGTCTAGCCAGAAATGCATGGAGCCGTCTTCACTGTTGTCCCAGCCCTTCTCTGAGCAAACTTACTCCCGTGCCTTGGGCAGCCGAGGACGTAGGTGTTGACCTGAGGTGTTCGATTTGGGGGCAGCAGGGCTGAGTGGAAATGAGGAATCTGGTCCACATCCTCCTCAGCCCTGTGACCTTGAAGGGGCAATGCTTGGTCTTCATGACCCCAGGGTCACTTTCTTTGGTTCTTTACTAGGGAATTCTTTCATTTTTCATGAATTCACTCAACAAATAGTCATGTGATATCTGCTGTGTGCCAGGCACAGTTCTGGTTACTGGGATGTGACAGTGAGCCTAACCAAGTCCAGCCCTCATGGAACCAGCCTTCGGAGGGGGGGATGCAAATAATAAATGCATAAGCCACAGAGATGGTTGTCAAGTGGTGTAGACAGTGACACCCCCCCCCCAAATCTGGAAACCAGGAGCCGAGGGACAGGGGAGGGCAGACGGGACCTGGATGGGGGCTTCTGACCGTGGACTCAGAATCTGCATCTCAGTTCCACCACCTGCTGTGAGTGTGGTGTGGGTCTTCTAGTCCACCTCCAGGAGCCTCAGTTTCTTCCTCTGTAAAATGGAGGCACTCAGGGTACCCACCCACTGGAGCTGTTCCGGGAGCATGTGAGATGATGCCTGGTGAGGACCTCACGCCCAGAACGTCCAGGTCTGTACCTTCATTTTCATCACAATCACAGTCACTTCTATGTTTTGGAAAAGAGGAGAGTGAAACTCAGAGAAGTTAGGTGATTTTCCCAAGGCCACCCAGCAGGTCCACTCCCTGTCTCCTCTGCTCTTCTCCTGTATAGAAGCCGCCTCTCCACCCCCGTGGGGTCCTGGCCCATAAGTGCATTACGTGTGGCGGAATTGGACTGTCTGGAATGTAGGTTGTAAAGAGAATCCTATTTAAAGTGTTTTTATTTGTTGGGGGTTACAAAAGTAAGACATGAGACATGCTCAATACACACCATTCAGACCACACAGAAACAGGTGACACAGGTGCTCCTGGGGATCCTTTTCCCACCAGCCCATGGGCAACTACTTTCTGACTTTTATCACAATGCATTCATGTCCCCCAACTTTGAGCTTTCTATGCCTGGAATCATACAGTGTGTGCTTTTATGTCTACTGTTTCACTCAACATAATTTTTTTGACATTCGTGCTTGTTATTGTTGTATTTGCAGTTCTTTTTTTTTTTTTTAAGTAATCTCCACATCCAGTGTGGGGCTCGAACTCATAACCCTGACATCAAATCAAGAGTCAGATGCTCTTCTGACTGAACCAGCCAGGCACCCACATGGTTCTTCTTTAAGAATTGAATTGTACTGCATTCCTCAAGTATATGCATTTATCCAGTTTTATTAATGGATAGTTGGGTCATTTCTTGTTTGGGGTAAGGAATACAGGTGCTGTGAACATGCACATGTGGCTGGGGCTATTGTAAACCTGCATTTTAATCCTGACTCTGCCACTTGGGAGCTGGGAGATGATACACAGGTGCTTTTTAAAGTCTTGGAACCTCATTTCCTCACCTTTAAGGCCTCACTCCCAGGGTTGTGTGGAACTAGGCGAAATGTGCAGTAATGCTGGCTAGATGCTTGTTACATGGCAGGAACTTACTGAGTAATGTTAGTAACTCTAATATGTTACC